GACTTTCTAGAAAGTAGGTAGGTATCTCCACAATGTAAAGTGAAATTTCAACAGTGTTCCACTAACGTCTCTTTAACAGCTGCGTTATAATTGGTACCGAGCATACAACTGCAGAAGTAGAACAACAGTGCTCGTAGAACTGTATTCTTCTCTAAACGTTTAATTAATTTGCATACTAATTGTTTTTTAATCCTGTTGTTTCAACGAACAGTTTCTAAACGATCATGAAATTAGATTAAGTCAACGTCACGATACGTAACTTTCACCTAAAATCTTTCCATCGATCTTTGACACAGCGAGATACACTTGGCGATAAGAGTGACGTTTATGGAGGCAGTAGCCATACTGATTAACTGGTTGAGTATTAATCTTCTGATCGGAACAGAGAACGAACGTGGTCGTTGACAGGCTGCACGTGGCATGGAAGTTTTAACAATAAATACCACCTGTCTATTAAAAGAATAATTAGTAGATTACTGTGTTATTAACACGTGGAGACAGTGTGTTATAGATCATCTATAGCTATCTGCTAGACTACGTTTCCTTACAAATTGGGTGCCATATGAAATATTATAGATTTATTTTTATCTTGATTAGTTGAATCTTGATTAATCAGATATTGCTGAAAAAGTGGTCATCACAAGAGCTGATTAATATCAATTGGACATTTGCATAAAAATTATGGTAACTTCCTTGAGTTTTAGGGCACATCCTCATCACTTTTCAAATGTTAACATTGCACCACTATTGTAAAAGAATTCAGGCTGATTGTAAGCTGAAATTAGTGGGTATTCATGAGGAAATGTCTCAGGACCACTCAGGATTGATTGTGGTACTTCTTCCTCAAAATGATTAGGATACATAGATTAAAAATCGAAGAGGAACGAGGAGACGAACAACTTCACTTTCCATCACGATTTCTCGCCACCTGAAGATTCAGGTTGACCCGTTGATTGCACGAAATCTGTTCGAAAGAGCAAAATACGAGGGTTGCACACGCCGAGAAAGAGGGCCAAGTGGTCGATAGAGTTCCACCACGCTCTTTCCACTATTCCTCTTCTCATCCCCCTTTCGGTTGGTCCTCCTTTCCACTCGTTCCGGCGAACTCACCCCAGTTTTCATGCGAACGACGGATCGTGCTTCGCTTTCTTCACAGTTTAACGCAGCATCCGTACGAGTTCGTAGCGAAACCTGCTCTCCCATGCAACCGTACCAGCCACATTGTCGACGACAACAATGACGGCGACTTGTTTTTCTTCCTCTCCGTCTGTCTACCTTCTCCCTTTCAGCCTTTCTTCCTGCTCGCTCCCGACGCCGGGAAAATGTAGGTTTCACCCTTCGAGGGAAGGTGCGCTGGGCAGGAAAATTTTCTACTTTATAAACGACCAGCTAACGTGGCACAGAAACGAGAATGTAGGGCTTGCAAGGTTTTAAAGCATTAATTGTTACATGGTAGTATTCAATTCTGAGACTTTGATTCTTCATGGTTTTAGGGGTAGCTCACTGTTTGTCCTCTGAATTTCAAAAGCAAAATGAAAATCATCAAGTTAGATTAGAGCAATCTCTGCCTATGAAGATACCAGTCAAGAAATCATCAAATATCTTTAAATTCTTCTCAAATTACCAAATGAAACGTTTCAAATATTGTCAGTTCAGTCAAGAAGTCGAGTAAAACCTTGAAGAACTATTCTCCTCACCTTCAACTGAGAATCTTCCAAAGGCTCAAAGAAGGCAAGAGTAAATTCCAAGCACCCGGACCATGATACTCTTTAATGTACCATCCTGATTCAAATGTAAACCTAACAGAATAAAAAGCATCGTTCCAATCTCCGTCCGCGTGTCCCAATGAATTCATAATTTTCGAGATGGAAAATTGCGATGGCCGTGTATCAGAACCGCGTCGATTCATCGTGGCTGCCGCAATTTGGTGTTGTACGTGCTGTTAGCAAACCGACGGCTACATATTGATGCCCTCTGGGCCCAGTGTCGGTAAATTAATAGAGGCAGCGTTAGGTTCAATCGATGATACGCAATAAACTGATGAAATCGTTATTGCACAGGCTGGTATTATTTAATCAGCGATGCATACTTCATTCAAGCACAATTTTCTGAATAACCGTGTATAACTAGATGTTCGAATAACACGGCGTCGCTGCCCGTGCTGCTCCATTGTTCATCGACGTCGATGGTACACTGTAGGACGCATCGTTAATGACACCGACAAGCACCGGTGCACCGCGACGTCCGGAGAGACTGACACACGTCTGCGTCTCGATTTTCTCTTTTTTTTCTTTTTTCATCAGACACATCGGCGTGGACGAAGTTTCCTGGTCGAAAGTGGAACTTTGCAACACCGTTTGAACGTCGGCGAACAGTGGTCCCAGACTCGCAGGACGGAAGGGAAACATCAGAGGGAGACGAACGTCTCCTTTCGCCTCTCTCGTACTCCTCCTTCGATAATCTTCCGTTGTTTCTTCGCCCTTTGTCACGGGAAGCAACATAGCGTTACACGTGTTCACTCCTCTCGCTAAACTGCTAAGCGTGCACCTGACAGCTAATAGGCAACGGTGATTCGCGCGCGACGCGGAAATAGCGGGCGAGTTTATTAAAGTCCGACTTCCGTTGGTACGAAACGAAAAATTTCATTCGAACACCCCTCTCGCCGCCTAAGACGCTTCTTTCACCCTGTTTATTCTCGGCCCGCGGTCGCTTTTGTCTGCGCTTTTTTATTTCCTCCGAGCCGCTGGAAACGTTGTAATACAGCCAGTTAACGAGTCCCCGTCGAAGGTACTTTGAATAAGACGTCCAACGTCGCTGTGGTTTTACTGAAGGATTTAGGAGAGGCACAATCTCCTCATCCAAGACGGTGTATACAGTTTATTTCAATCTTTAGACCGGCTGTGTCGCGAGTTTCGAAAAGGTGCTCCACAATGCGAGTCATTCAATCGGACGAAGCACAGTTCCCTTCGAAATATACGCGAATATCTCGACCTGAATGCCCGATCTTTGTTTCATCCGTTCCGTGTGTGCTTGTAATCGAGCTTGACAAAGAAGCTGATGTAATTCTGAAATTAATACGCGTTATTATAACGAACCGTATACAAACGGGACGGAATTCAAGATACGGCCGAGCGGTCTTGAATACAAATTGAAACGGGAAGGTTCTCCAAAATGAACGGGGATAATACGAAAATTCATTTTTCCGCTCACGCAGACCTCGACCGGCTAACATCCCCTGTTAAATCTCCTCGTCTTTGTTACACATTCCCCTGGACACGGATTATATTCCCGTGACGTCCGATCCGGAACTCGTGACACGGTGTTACTTCTAATGTCCCCGCGGGGTTAAGTTCTTATCCAAATTTGCAGAGAAGATCATCCATGGTGTGCTCCAAGTCGTGGATAGATTAGAAATCGATATCCCATAGTGGACTTGATCGGTTTACAATAGAGATACCACGAAGGCTAACGAGGCATCGGCACCCTCGATCGCCCTTCGTTGATATTAGAAATAACTACCAGAGGAAGTTTACCCTTCGCCAGTTGCCTTCGAAGACCTCCGGTACACCCACACTCGCACCGAGCAGCACCGTTCAACCACCGTCGTCAAACTGCCAGACTGGATCGCGTTCTTTTCCAGGTGTAAGATACGTCGAAGACGAAGGAAAGTTCATCTAGAAATACATGGATCGTTGGTTGTAACATCTAAGGAAGGGGCGGTCGGAAGAACGGGCGACGATGTCGCGTCGGCTGGCGCTTCGTTGCTGGCCACGAGCGTGCCAGGAACTCGAGGTGGAAAACCGCAGCCGAAGCTCGGCGACGTTCTCAGTGGTCAACTTGGAATAGAGATAGGGCAGTGGTGCAGAGAGTGCGAGCGGGAACCTGCGGACGAAGATGAACGGAATACGCGCAGCCGGAATGGGGGTAAATAGAGTAGCAGAGGGCGAGAGGAGAGGCAGGAGATACAGAGAGAGAGAGATAACGATAGAGAGGGAGAAAGGTGGCAGGTGCAGGAGAGGATTCGCGTACGGGCGGGTGAGTTGTGCGTACCAATCGCGGGTGCAGGGTACGTCCGCAGGCACGCAGGAGGAGGCGAAAACCGGGTACAGCCCCAGGAACCGTGGGTTCCGGCAAACGGGACAAAACCGCCCACGCTGCTTGCCGAGAGCGGCGCGCGTCTGCTCGCGTTGCGGCGAGTGCAACACACCGAGTACCGCGCGCGAAAACGGGCTTGAACGCGACTCGGTTGGGTGGTGGCCCGCCGTTCGTCTAGTTGGAGGGAAAAGGTTGGATAGAAGTAGCGTGGAGAAGCAGAGGATGGTTTAGGTGGAAAAGAGATGGAGAGGGCGGAAGAGGGATGCGTGAAGTAGGAAGGGTGAAAATGGAAAAGGAAGAGAGGAGGATAGAGGAGAAGGAAGAAGGGTGGCGATTCGAGGTTGGAGGGGTGGAGAGTGGCGGAGGTTGGGCGACGGGGGTGGCGGCCGATTCTCGGTTGGTGGTAGTGGTGGCAAAGGCTGAAGGTGAGCGAGAGGCGGCGGAGGTGGTGGCGGCGGCGGCGGCGAACATAAAATCCCTCGCACATGCCTGGTGCATTCATTAGGGGGGATGTGCCCGTGCAGCGTACACGTCGACCTGCATCCACGCCACCCTCTCTCTCTCTCGGCGCCACCCCTGGCCTCAGTCGCGCTCCGCGGCCAACTTGGTACACACGCCACTTTGTTGTCTCTCCCTCTCGGAGTTTCGTCCGCGTTTCAACGCCATCGACGTCGCGTCGCGAGATAATCATGCCGCGATATTTCCATTCGATCCGTCATTGATCCGTCGATTGCACGTGAACTAACGAAATAACAAAAAAAAAAAAAAAGAACACTGTTCTATTCTGTGCTCTCCTAATTATCTCGAGGCTCGTCGCGTTCGATCATGACCGAGACCAGTTGAAGATACTCTCGGTGGAACATTTGCGAGTGCGTTACCGTTTTACCATCGTGTGCGCGAATGTACTGTCCATGAAGAAGACAGAGATCGCATTTACTGCGTGAACGGAAGAGGAACGAGCGTTCGAAGAGGTGCAGCAGCAGCTCGTCCGGGTTGAACCGTCGCCGGAAGACCGTCGCTGGAAGATCACTCCGTGGGAGGATCAACGGGAGGCTCCTTGTTTGATCGGCGTCGAGCGGCTACGGCAGGCCGACAGGATTTCATGTTCACGAATTTCAGTAAACCAGGTAACGATGCGCCAAAGCCGCCAGCACGGAATCGGCGCGTCGATTTTCAGATTTTCCTAACGACCGACGCGACGTGCTTCGCGTTTCCGCTTCGGACAGGCTATCATTCGATTTGCGCGCTCGACCTTCCTGGTTACACGCGGCGTCTCCCCGAGAGGGGAGAGCGGATACGCGCCTATTCTGTGTCCCACAAACAGCCTACTCCAGAACCGGGGCTCATCGATCGCGAGATCTAGAGGCATGCGTCGCGTGTTCCTCCCTCTCGCTCGGACGATTCCGCTTAGAAAGAACAAGACACGCGTCGATGACGGATATACGTTTAATCAGAGTTCAATTCGCACGCGGATCTTCTTCCGTTACCACCGACGACCGTTTTATATTAGCTGGAAACCTTATCGACGCGAACCTGCGCTTGATTGCACTCCTTTTCTTTCTACTCTTTCACGTAAACCGATAATTGAATAGAAAAATCAAGGGGAAAAACGTTGGACCGAGGAAATAAGGGGAAACGTTGCTACGATCAGAATTTCACTGTTAAATTCCGTAACTGATCACCGGGCTGGATAGTTTAACGGATTTCAATAATGTGCTCGGCAAACTAGACTGCGCTTATTGGTTCGGCGTTCAATTGAAATATAAACTGGCCCGGTGGGGGGTAAAAACACGCGCTAACGTGATTGTCAATTTTCGAGAACGTTGTGCAGTTGATCGTATTTATGCGGAGTATATATATTTTTCTACGACCTACGGTATGTTTCGCAATTATCGATAAAAATGATCGAAAAACGCGAAAGGTTCGGTAACGAGTTATTTGTGGATCGAAAAATGTAGGGACTGACTTTTGCTCAATTAAACGTGTAAGCAAGTTTCGCGACTATGAACGGATTTTCGATAATACGTTCAAAGTGAAATTATATTTCATATCGTATAGTAATGCATTACGGATAAAACTAGGGAAACATCGTTCGCGACGAGTTCGGTCGAAACGTAATTATACCAAACGCATCGTGAACGAGTGCGCAGCCGAGTGCAATTCATTATACATACTTTCTATGTAAAAATGCAATTTAACGCGCGTAACGCGTGCTAAAGCTGTCATTTGCTAGAAAAAGTTTGTTTGCACCGAACGTGGTTACAAAAATCGAAAGGGTATTGTTTTGGAAATGAAATACACTTTGGGGGATAAAAATGGTAAAGTAACGGGTCGCAGGTAAAATGAGTTCGTGGGAGCTTTACAATGCAAATAGACGGGAAAAATGAAATTCGTGGTAATAAAGCTAGGCGAGAATTTCGGAGACAAAAGTTCGCTGACGGTGGAAGTGTTAGCTTTATTAGAATTTTCACGGGAATTATTTGCGCGATACTTTACCGGCAACGTTTCTTCCCTTATGCAAATAACGCGAAACGTACGTAGCACCTTAGACGTTGCATCCGCGGTGGACAAATATTGCAATAACGGTATATCAAGATTAATTTGTAATCTGCCGTGCGATGGTCGCACGGAAACGATCCATAATTTATACCCTACACCGGAGCCATTCGGCCGCACCGGATTAAGCTAAAAAGATGATGCAACAACGAACAAAAATTTCGGAATTTACACGCCGGTTGAACTATTATCGTTTATTTTCCGTCGCTTTTGAACGCCAGACGGTCGCTTGCTCTGTGTAACGAGTTGGCCGAAGGTTTCCAACATAAATCGACGCAAACAACGTGTTTACGCTCGATCGTTTCCGAAAAAGAAGACAAGAGGGAACAGAGAGGGAATCCTGTCGCTGCTTTTTCCCCTATTCGTCGAGATGACGCGTCGATCAAAAGAAACAACCAGAGGGGGAGGAAAATTCTTTGCAATTCAGTGATCGCGGTTTTCTTTACTTCCAACGGAAAAGTCCGTTTCTTTGAGAAACTTTCCATTCGTAGATCAAACGTTCAAAACATGTTCCTTCTCTTTCCAAGGCCGGTTGTAGCCAAGAAAATAGTCGAGCGTCGCATCCTACCCTTTTACAGAGATAGTATACATTACGCGGTATCTCTTATCTTTAACAGGAAACTTTACGCGATTGCGCGTCGAATCTGTTGCTTTAGCTTCGAGCGTGAATTATATATACCTTGGTTTTTTCATACGAGCTTAAGTCCAAGAAGAATATGCTAAAATCACAAATATATCGATATCAATTTCGTACAACGCGAATGAGTACATTTTTCGTATTTAAAAAAGCGAGGTTACTTTGCTCGGAAAGATTGAATCGTTCGTGGCGCTTCGCATCGATGCGCGCGCAGCAGCGTGCGCGCATGCGCACTCAGTCGGTCCGCGCGAATCGTAGACACGTCCGCTGCACTTCCGGCGTGCAACGCGCGAAGATCGTCCCTGAAGATCTGCCAACCGCACGGAAGACAGAGAAACGATATTTCTTAGCTCTACGTCAATCAGCTCTCGTCGCGCGACTTACGTTCGCGCTAGGGCGAGATGCGGCGACGTATCGAGCCACGATACGTCGCAACGACGACGCCTGTTCCGACTTGTTTTCCTCGTGGAACAGTCAAGGCCACCGCGAGATAATTATGCAGATAACGGTGATGCTCGCCGGTATCCCACCTGCATGGAGGATCTACAGGTCCGTTCCTTTGGCTAACATTTATCTTTTACTTCTTTCTCTGTGTGTCTGTCATTTACATCGATCTTTGATCTTCCGCTGGACCGTACGTTTTTTTGACTTTCGTCCCCCATTCGATAGACGGACGATCGTGTTAGGTAACACTTCTGCTATTCGAGAAATTTCGTTTTTTCGAATAGTACAGGCAAGTCGTTCGTGGAACCGGTTCGCGCAATTGATTGCGTAACCGCTCATTTGGTCCAGGATGATGGTACCGATACGTCTGGAAATGATATTTTGAACGATGAAGTTTATCTAGGGAGGCAATAAAATCGGGCCAGCCACGATTAAAAGGACTCGCGTAAACGTGCCGGGAGCTAACTACCGTACGCTTTCAGTAATTATTCCTCGGCGAAACGAGTAAATCCGACCTGATACCAGCAGATACGATTACTCGTTCTCTCTTCCGTTTTATTCCTATCTCTCTCCGACGCTCTCGTACGCGTGGCTCGCTAATTCTGCCGCGGACGTCCGGCTAGAAAATGAAGAATAAAAAAAAAAAAAGAAAATACCGCGAGAAATTTTCTGGAAATAGAGTTACACGTAGCTAGCGAGCGAATACCGAGCGGATCATTTAAATTTCACTCGCGCGGAGATTTGTGAGACCTCCTTGTAATTCCTCGCATGAATTCTCGATTCGCGTAAATCGCGTCTTTGTTAAGTGAGACGTTTTCGTCAGGGATAAATATCAGATATGATTTACGAGACAGCCGGTTAAGTAGCGGAACAAAGTATCTCTTAACGAAGTTGTCATTCTGTTACCAACTGATTTGGAATTGAAAATATTGCAGGACGCCCTAACCTTATTCCCGGATCGGTTAACTTTTTCAATCCTTTAGAGACGCGTTCCGGATAAATTCAATTATACTCATTGCGTTATCCGTTTAATACACTGAATTCCTATTTAGCAGGACGTATCTTGGTCGTGGACAAGCAGGCGAATAGTAATTTCGCACGGTGCCAATCAAAGCACGGATTAAATCTGTTAATGGTCGGGCAATGCTTGTAAATCCGCACTCGAAAACCGATTAAGGAGATTTTCCCGCTACCTATTGATTTCGTACGGTTAACACGATTATCGTCCGGCCCGTATACCGGCGAAATTAATATCAGAAAGCTCGCGATTTGCGTGAATTACCGTTTATTGAAGTCAAATGAAGCCGAACAACCCCTTTGCACCGCATGATTTTCCGCGAAATGTAATTCCCTCTCATGTAAACGCGGCGCAAACTCACGTTTCTGGAAAGAAACGAAAGAAAAAAGAAGAGAGAGAGAGAAACAAGGCAGGGAGAACCTCGTGAATTGCTTAAGCTGCTGAGATAAAAGTATCCTTCGGTTAAACAGCTTTATGTGTTCTTTTTTTCCTTTCTTTCATTTTTTTTTTTTATTTCGTTCTTTTGGGATGTCTAAGGAAGAAACAGGTTCTGAAAGTTCCTTTTGCAACGTCTTCTTTAAAGATCTATGAATCTCATATGCATTGCACGCGTTGCGATAAGTTTATAAGAAGTTGAACTTTTGCGTAATACCTTTATACGTTTATAACACTTTCATATGCGTTCCGTGAAATGCTTTATGATATAAGACGCTTCTTGCTCGGTTTTTTTTTTTTGATTAATTAAACACGCCATTATCTGTACGCGAGAAAATCGTTTTGTTTATTACGATAGTCGCGAGAAAATATTATAACTCGTCGATTGAACTTTAGCGCTAAATGCAACCGCTTTAATTATTTATACTTCCGATAATATACAGTAGGAATGCTGTCGGTGAGAGAAAAGTACTCGCATTCGTTCGACAGAATATAATTTCTGTTAAATTATCGTGCCTCGGACGGTCAATAAGATAAACGCGTTTATCTTGTCGTTAGTACAAAAGGTAATTGAATCGAATATTTATTTATTTATTTTAATGTTCGTCATTTGCGTGATCTAATCATTTCTACGTTCTAAACGGATAGTCTCGATAGGTTATGTGTCACGTGGTCTCTATTATTATATTTTGTAGTCAAATGATTCTTTCGTATTATTGAACAATTCAATTGTTAATATACCTCAAATTTTCAGACAAATAAAAACTGATAATTATTCGGTGTAAGTAATGCTCTTTTTATATTTCGAAGAAACGCGTAAACATCGATTACAGATATAACGAAAGTTTTTTCGGTTCATCGTTGCATTTCATTATAATAAACATATTAATAAACACATTGATAAAAAAAGATGAATTTAATAAAGGGAAAATGATTTAGTTCAATCGAAACTGTTGCATGAAGTTCTATTGCGTGACTAGTAACGTTTGAATTCGAGCGCCCTTCGCGCCATTCCCCCCGGCAGATGCACGAAGGTCAAAAGTATTTTAAAAATAAGGCCGTAGGCATTGGCAGATTGGTATGGTAGTGGACGTTAAGGGTCGGGTGGCGTTGTAATGGCAAAAAGTTTGCGAAAGGTGAGTAATCATCGGGACGATAAACAAAGTCGGGTTGGTAGTGTATACGGTGCGTTAGTTAACTGGCGCTGAGTTTAGGTAAATAAAGCCGCGTGTGAAGCGTGTTTGAATGGTTAGAAATCGAGCATCAACAAATCTAGTTTTCGCGAGAATGCTCGTGGCTAGACGAGTACGGCCGACAATGGCGCCCAAGCCTCGCGAATATTGACATTGCCGAAAACATTATCTTCGAATATTGGATATTATCATATCCGTGGGTGAGACATACTGCGTCGCAATTAATATTCTAACCTTTTTTTCATTTGCGTTACATTTGTCCAAGTGAAATCGCGATCGAAGTAGTTTGTTGGTTTGCTTAGGTTATGCGAAAAAATGTTTTCGGCACGTATAGTAGCGACGCGTGAACCCTGAAGGGTTTTACAGTTATACTGCAATGTGGCACATTTGCAGAAGCACGGAGGAAGTTGTGTGGGTCTAGAGTTGCGATATAATCTCCGAGAAGATATCGTTAAGCCGATATAGGAGAGTGTGCGTGCAGAAGGCGTGTGAGTTAACGTTTTAAGGGTTAGGGAGTCATTCTGTACTCAGGGTGATCAAAGTCTTTAGTGTGGACAGTTCAGGGCAGCTAGTTTGGTTGTAGGGTCGGGATTGGAGATAGACAAGATGGACCAACAGTATTGCCTACGGTGGAACAATCATCCAGCCAACCTCACAGACGTTCTCAGCTCCTTACTTGCCAGAGAGGCACTCTGCGACGTAACCCTGGCGTGTGTTGGAGAGACATTCAAGGCACACCAGACGATACTCTCTGCATGCAGTCCATATTTTGAGAGCATTTTCCTCCAGAATACCCATCCCCATCCAATTATATTCCTGAAGGATGTCAATGACACGGAAATGAAGGCATTGCTGCACTTTATGTATAAGGGAGAAGTTAACGTTAGTCAGCATCTACTACCGATGTTCCTTAAAACAGCTGAGGCATTACAGATTAGAGGCCTCACTGATAATAGCACTGTAAATAACAAGGCAGAAGAGAAAAGTCCATCGCCAGAACCAGAAACACAAACTGGCATTAGGCATACCGAATCGCCTAGCCTTCAACCTCTTCCTGAAAAGAGGAAACGGAAGGCTTCTGGCAGCTATGATGTTTCTCTTAGTGGTCCTCCCAGTGAACGGTTCATGTCAGATTCTCAGGTATGTCATTTTGAATATTACATATTAATATTCTTATTTTGTGCATGTAAATATTTATATATGTATATATTTTTGTTACTGAATAATTTAATTTTTCTATGTATCTTTGCTTCATTTTAATTTCTTATTACCTAAATATTCATGAGTAATAAAGAGAGCATAAAAAGGTTTCTGCAAAACAGTTGGATTCATGTAACATATATGATATTTTTTTTTATTTGAAATCTGTTTCTAATCTGTTTATGATTTCCATGTATTAATATTTGTAAACAGTAATTGCTCCATTTTATCATGTTCATTATATTGTATACATGTGTAATATTAGTAGAGTAATTCATGATTAAAGTGATGAAAAAACCTTACCATTCCTTACAATACATGCAGAAGTTATGAAATGCTTTTTATATTTTCCATTATAGAAAGCAAAAAATAAATCAGTTATCATTTATTGAGTTTATTGGTATTAATTAGTTGTGTAAGTTAAGGTCTCCGCTATTGCATGTATAATTACGTTATAATATCAAGTGAAAACTAGTTTATCAGTTCTCGAAAATTATTTTCAAAACATATGCTCCCGCGTGCTTGCGCGCGTGCGTTCGTGCATGCGTGCGTCGTAGGTACACGTACGTAGTCACATGGATACGTGCAAAACTTTTTATGTAGGTAGCGCTTAAAATTCAAAGATAATGATCGAATTTTATTATCATTAAACTATATGTGTAGCTGATTGCACAGCTTTTCAAATATCTGTATTTGTAACCTTGAAGTAAAACGCAAATAATCTTTCAATATCACTTCTGTCATATACTGATCCTTAAAATATAATTACATTCTAACCAATTCTTATCTATTCATATTAGGATTTCATAAAAATTTTTATAAATATCATGCAGATAATTTATTTTTGGATAATCAGAAACATATTTTTGATATCTGTTTTGATAACAGATATTCTCACAGATATATTTAAACATACAGTTTTAGCACTTTTAAAATTTATAACCATTTCATTTTATTGTTTTCAGGCATCCTCACAATGTAGTTACAAATCAAGCCCTCCCGTGATTCCAAAGTTAAATAATGCCATGGGAGGTGAGATGGAAGATGGTGGTCGACCTATGTCTCCTGCATCACAGCCGCAACCTTCTATCAAGCAAGAATTAGATCATCACTTACCAGACTTCCATGACAACATTTCCCTCCCAGTAAGTAACTCTCTCTTCAATATTTGTAATGGAAGTAATATTATAGTGTGCATGTTGAAAATGTAGCTTGTAGCATGTAGTCAATTTGTAGTAATTCCTAGGTTTACTTGTATCATGAATATGCTTGTTCAGTATTAAATCTATGCACTATACATTTTTGATTTTAAGAAGAAATGATTTATGTTCAATAAATTATTAAAGGAAATAAATTAAAGGTTTTTTCAATGCAATATTTATAATTTTACAAATTTTTTTTTATTTAAGTGTCTGATAGATCAGGTATTATTTAAGAATTTTTTTTAGCATTTGGTACATATAGATAGTATTCATTTCAAAGTAGTTCTGAGTTGGTGTAAAATTTTTAATATTATTTTTTTATTTAGTTCTCTGTGCTGTGTACTGTTTCTATTTCAGCATGTCATTTTATACATATTCTCTTGCTACTATACTTTGTAATCTGTCCACCAAAATAACTATTTCCTCATGCATAGCTTCTAAGCTATTCATGAAATTACATATTTCATCAAATATAACATGTTCAAGATACAAAGTTTCGTTACTCTTCCCATAATTAATGATATCCCACTGTTATCCTCTACAATTATTCAATCCAAAGAAACATGGGAAGGAAGGGATGTTTAAATAGAGATAAAAAATTGGCTTCTTATATGCTAAAAGACAAAATCAAAGATGTGTTGATTAAACACATATCCTTTCCTTCTCTGTTGACAGACTAGTGTGGAGTGGGAGGTTCAAAGAGATGGGAAGAGTGACGAAACTATGGATGTACAGAACATGACCCAAAATCAACCAGATCCCGCTGTGATACAAGTATCTTGTGAAAGTACTATCATGGCTGGAGGTTCCCTGTCTATCACTATGTCAGAAACCACGTCTGATTGTTATAAGAACTCTTACAGATTTTTGCAAAAACACCCTGTGCCTCAGAAATTCAATTCACATAGTAGCAATAGTACTGAATCAAGTTCATTGTGTAATTTGTTGCTGGAAAACAATGTAAATGTTAAAAAATCGTATAATAATAAGAGTATCAATAGACCAATAATAGTAAATCAACAGCAAGGCATGTCAATGATTCAATCATCTCTTTGTAACATTTCACAACGTACAAATCCTCAGGGTAGAAAGACTGGTAGATTCAAAGTTGGGTGGTTAGATATGTATTCTTGGCTTCGGTACGATGAAAGATCGAATCTTATGTATTGCAAGTACTGTAGGAAATGGAGCGATTCGATTCCCGAAATTCGCACCTCATTTGCAGCTGGAAACGGAAATTTTAGACTTGAAATTGTAAATCATCATGATAAATGTAAAGCTCATAATTTGTGTGTTGCTAAAGAGAGTGCAACTAGAGAAAGTTACACTTATATCATGGAAACCTGTTGATTTTATATCACAGTTGCATCTTTGTAGTCTTAGTTAATTTGTGATTAAGTTCATATATTTAAAAGTCCATATACATTTTTTATTTTCAGTTATTATAGAACCGTGTCTAGATGCATGTTTATAATTATTTATCAGTCATATATTCCCATTAAAAATGAATGTTTATTATTTCTATTTTGTTGAAAGCATGTTCGTGTCACGATACTTTAAAAGCCTTTTGATGTTCTTTCTTCCTTATGGTATATGTTAGAGATGCATAAAGGTTGTATCCAATTTGGGGTATATTAAAAAACGTGCCTTTTACTAGCCATATTTTAAAAGCTGCCATCGTTACAAATAGAATTAGTGGATCAATATATTTTTTAACAAACTTTTCGATACCTTCGTGAAAATCTCGTGCAATTAGCTCTGTTAACTTTTCCAATTGCAGTGAAGAAAATGATTCAGTTGAAAGTAAAATCTTCAATGGATATATATTAAAATATTTTAGTGAATGTTATTGCGTTAGAAAGATGTTTAAAGCGCGAAAGTTATTTAATTAACAAAGTTGTTACAGAAATATTAATCTATATTTAATAGCTTTTAATGTACAGAAATACGTGTATCTTTCTAAGTCTAGATTTTCTCGAACAGTTGCAAGGTTGTTGTAAACGATCGATGGAATAAGAATTACCAAAGCACGTGCATTTTGGAAATGATGCGTTTCTGTGATGAATTCTTGTGTAGAATAAAAACTGAATGTATTTCATAATACTGATTCTATTCTGTAACAAATTTTGATGCGAATTTGATATCCGCATTGTAACTTGTCTTTCGTCAAATCGACGAGTTCATTCTCTTTGTTATAATTACTTTTTACGATGTAAATAGTAAATAAAGAACGACAGTTATAAATTTTAATTCATTATTTTATATATTAAACTTAATTATAAATTTACATAGATTGCTATTTCCTAAGCCTCTTGTTCCAATGATTTTTTAAAAATTACTTCTATTATTATTAGTTCATTTTTAATATCGCAATAGGCTCATGCTTTGCTCAGTAGGTTGATACAATTATTGCAATTCTTTTTCCTTATTTTTATTAATAATTCTGATGATTTTGTGTGCAGGGTCATCCGGTTGGACTGCTAGGAGAAGAAGGAGGGGCTACAACAGGCACGCTAAGCGATGGTGTCCCAGGAATCGAATCGTCTGAACACCATAATCCCCCAGAAATGCTCGACGGACTCGACGGTAAGACATTACAAGCATCATATCATTTACAATCAAAATTACATTTAGATTTCACGTATTTCCTCGTTGCTCGTTCGATGCCCTCTTAAACCGTATGCACCCGGGAGAATCATCCCCGTTATAAGTGCATAAAACTCTCGTATCAATAATTCGGTAGTTACGCGATCGTTAACGACGGGACGAGCACCGGAAATACAGGATATCTAAGAAATCGAGGGAGATGTGCATGCACGTTTGCAAGAATTTTTGCGCGTCGAGTCGTACATAGGCGTACGAAGCGAGCATCCCTCTATTTCCAAGTCTGGCAAGCGTAGTGAGTGGTAACCTTCTTTTTAGAAAACACAATAAACAAACTTTCTTTTTCTTTTTTTTTTTTTTTTTTTTTTTTTTTTTGTTGCTGAATGTGTATCCTGTATATATACATATGCATACATGGACCGACGTGTGTGCGTGTATATAATATGTATCTTATGTATATATGGGAGTATACATCCTTAACATAACGACACAATATCCTTGGTGTTGTGGTGATGGTATCGTGCATTTGCTATGTCACTATTGTGGTAGTTAAAAAATGAAAGTACAACCAAATATCCGTAAGTGTGTTTTAATGCAATCTCAGGAAGTATCTCTAACAAAACACGTGTTGTGTTGGTCTTGGGAAGTGGTATACGAACAAAGTGGACATTTCTTCTGTTGGTATCAGCAAATGGACCGTACTTTTTGTCTGTCTGAATTTTCGAGACGGTGTGTGCCCGATTGCGTACGTGGTCCCGTATGTGTTTTTTTTTTTTTTTTTTTTTTTTCTATCTTACACACGCACATATACACACGACACACATTGAGAGCACCACAGGTGTACATACGAGCCTTTGTGTGGGTGGTTAATTAATGGAATTCAATTTGAGGGTGTACGCGTGCGAATGAGCTGAGTACATGTATATACGTGTGTTACATATAGTTTTACAATTTATTTATAATACAACATTCCTGTATATATACACATGTATGTATATATACATATAGAGGAGATGTATATGTACGTGTGTATGTGTGTAAATATATTATAATCATTATCGCGGGATTCTCTGTGCATGTTTATTTATTTTTTTATTTATTTATTTATTTTTTTTTTTTTACACAACTGTTTTCTCTGTCCTCTTACATTACATTATACCTTTTGCCACGTCTTACGTCACCGTAACTAGCGATCATAATCTTACATTCTCACGTGTCTCTCTGTTGCGCTGTTTGTTTTTAACCCGTGCGGCACGAGTAAACGGGGAACATTAGCAACAAAATACGGCACGCGTCCAGTTACGTGACCGATCGATCAATCGACACGAACGTCACCGGTTCAATAACAAAGAGAAATTACGTAAATACAGCATCATTTCCGTTCGGCAATACGGAAAGAGAAAGAAAAAAGAAATGAATTTTGTTGCTAACACGAATGGTCCGTTTACCATATGTTTTTCTTGAAGCTAGTTGACGATCTTGCAGAAAATCGTTGCTCTCTTTCATCGTCGTCATCGTCGTCGTCGTCGTCGTTGTGTTCGTTGCTTGTGGCAAAGGATAGATCAACTTTTGACTTCTAGCAACGCTGGTATGAATCTCTCCTTGTTTTACTGTGTCAACATATATGAAACATGAAAAGAAAAAAAAAAAAAAAGAAGCAGTAGATGAACATTCTGATAAGCTCGAACCACTTTTCTCTCCGAATACGAGCACTCGTCGAGAAAGTATTTTACATTATCAGCTGCTCTCTTCAACAGAATATGTACTTCCGCTTGCGTTGATCTCTTAAACGGACTCTTTTATTTTCTCTCTCGTCTACTCTCTTTTGTTTCACCTTTCTTTCTTTTATTTTCTTTTCTTCCTCTTCCTCTTCTTCTTCTCTTGTTGTCGTTGTTGGTTTTCCGTTCTCTTCGGTTGTATTGTGCCAGCTTCAGTTGTACTTATGACAATGATAAGACAGTAGGTGTGCGCTTTCCTTTCCTATTTTATTTTCTCTTCTATTGATAAATACGATGATTTTCTTCTTTCTCTGTTACGAGTAGGCATCTCTAGACATATTATTGTTACTATACGAGTGTGGTGTTTCGTAATTGATTGGAGAACGTAATTAATTGAGAGAATCCCCTCTTTTCTGCAACCTCTTTGACTTGATCGTAGAGTGTGATTTTGATTGATATTATTGAACCGATATTTTCTCTCTATATATACAGTGAAAGGTAAAAGTAAGTAGACACTGTTCAAAAAGAAATACCTCGGTTAAAATTGGACTAAATAATTTGAGGTTTCTTGAGAAGCTATAAAAATGAATTTACTATTTTAAAAAATTACCATCCACTATTTTGTTTTCACGATTTTAACAAATTGTAATTTTTTAAAACGATGAAAATACATATTTTAGTGAATTAATTTTTATAGCTTCTGAAAAAATCTCAAGTTATTTAGTCGAATTTTAACCGAGGTATTCTATTTTGAACAATGTCTACTTACTTCTGCTTCTCACCTTATATATTATGATGAAACTAGTAGAGATTGACGGTAAAGATGAAGAAAATTTAATTGAAACGGGATCTTGTATTCCAGGAACAGCAGGAACTTGCAAAAAAGAGAAGGATATAAATAAAGACGGTCAGGCTAAGTTAGATCACCCTAACCTAGGTACGGAGTGTTGTAAGCTTTGCGGCAAGAGCGTAGCGAACATAAAAAAGCACATGAAATCGCATTTCCCCGATAAATATCAGTGCCAAATATGCATGATATCGTTAACGAGATCGGACAATTTGAAAAGGCATATTAAATTAAAGCACGGGATACAAGAGGGATCGTTGATCTCGCCGTTCATGCGTTTAGAGCACAAACACTTTCTAGCGAAATCGGATTCAGCTTACCTCACCTAGAATATCCCCGAACGCGCGTAAATTACGAATTCGCGTTAAATCGGTTATATTTTATACGAGGAGACGATCACGTAGCAGGCAGAAATCGTCGACCGAGGAATCAGAAAAAATGATTCTTCTCCTCTCATTTATTCGTCGATCGGTATTCGATCAACGATCTCTATCAATTATTTAATTTTTCCTTTCTAATCGCTTAAATTATTCTCCTAAGAGATCCAACTATTTATTATTTAATCGTCGTATTTGTCTAGTTTCGTAGGATAGTTGAGCTCTCGTTGCCGATCGGCTACGATTGCGTTTTAAGTAAATGTTCAATTAACGAAAGGTTTCAATTAATTTCACCAGTGTTCGTAGAATCGCGATAGGCCTAGATCTCACTCGAGTACAAAGTAAAGAAATCAATTTTGAAATCGTGTTCGTACAGACTACCTCCGTGAGCGCATTGCGCGATATATTTAATCATTCCGAATTTTTATCGAACTTGTTTCCCTTCTCCGAACACGCGGCGCATGGAACTGAGAATTTATCAGATTTCTCGATACCCGGTGAGAAAGTTCGATAGATACATAGGAGGTTTCCGTTCGATTTTCACCCGCGTATGGCACTCCGTTTTTCGCAGGAGAACGGCCCACCAGCCGAGTGCCAATTGCCTGGGAAATTGTTCGATATTGGTAACGAGACACCTGTGCTTGGAAGCGTTAGGTTGTAAGGTACGCGTACAGTTCCATGCCCGGTGTAACGAATCGCGTGTAACTTTGTATCTCGTAACGTGCCAGCCTTTTGTCCCGCAGATGGAGGAGATCAGTATTAAGTAATTTATTTATACGTCTATTTATATTTATATATACATATATCGTAGGTTGTGAAAGACGTCGAAGACTGAGTATGAGAAAATGAAACGAAATAATGAATTCTCGTGGGCCGAGTGTGGCTCGATAAAATAGTCATGATGAAACTAGTCTCTGAGGCCCGAAGGCTGTTGCAAGAACAGACTTTTACTATAGAGAGGTGTTCTTCTTTTTTCTTATATCTTTATTTTTTTTTTTTTCGTTTTTATGTTTATGTTTTAATGGTGCCTTTCCCTTTAAAGTACAATACTTGACTATAATCAATAATCGATAGAACGGATATATATATATATAATATAATAAACAGCTATACGATACGAACGTGTGTAATATGGTGTGTAACGTATGTGACCGACCGGTCTCTCCTTCCGTCGACAGTGCATGACCGTCTCTGATAATCGAACGTTATCGATCTTCTTTACCTCGCGCACATACATTCTTCTACACACATACGTTGTAAAGCCTGTTCTTCTCTGGACACCGTGTCCGATGACAAAGTGAAAAAGAAAAAAAAAGAAAAGAGAGGGCCCGTTTGAAACGAAGTGGCCGCCAATCGAGTCAACGTCGATGGCCGTTTTTCACACACGACTTTTCTCTTGTTTGCAGATACGACAATTTTAAACCGTCCGGGCACCGAGTGTCCGTCGTACATTGAGAAAGTTAATCTTTCGGACTATTTCGAAAAGATGCCGTACACTTACACTAGCAAGTGCAAGCTGTGCGGTCGGGTCGTGTCGAATTTAAGGAATCATTATCTCGCTCATAATCCAGGGAATTACACCTGCCCGTTGTGCGGTTGCCGTAGGAACCGGCTGGATAACCTGAAGGGTCATATGAAACAGAAACACCCTGAGATACAGATATCGTTGATGTCCATTGACACAACGATCAATTGAACGTGGCCTTTTTTTTTACTTTTCTACGTTTTTCGAACGGTTACCGAGTGTTCAGGAATATGAAAATGATAGTAGCTCATTAGGATGATAGTTCAGTGTGATTCGCTTGCTTTTGGTTTATTTTTCTTTGGGAATTTTTATTAGCTCTTCGCATTGTCATTTTGTGCAGCAGTATTGTGAGTTCCTTATACGAGAACTTTGACACTTTTTTATACAGAATTTTAGCGGACTTAGACCTATTTATTTATCAGTGGACAGCAATATTAATTATAGAATTATAGGGTTAATATAAATACGGTATTAACATCTTATCTATCACCATCAGATGACATAGATATGGATTT